ATCCACAAGGAACCGTAACAAACTCGGCATTAAAACAGTGAATGAATAGGGCTAGGAAAGAATAGGAAGGAAATCACATCCAAACAAATCAAAGACATTTTACCTCGAGCATTGAGGGCGAGTTGTGGATGTCCGAGGGCTGAGAGAACCGTTTCAACTAGCTGACTCAATACTGTGGTACCAGATACAATGGCATAGGTGTCAACAAGTATATGACCGTCATGAGCGCATGAAAGACAATGCTGCGCCCGAACTGTTTCCACCGCCACCCGCACGGGGAACATCTGTAACGGCGATCTTAACAATCAATTCAAGAATGAGAAAAACCACCTATTAATCAGAACCAAATTCATGACAAGAAAAAATATAATGCTCTAAGAACAATGATCGCGATAAATGAAGGAAAACTTGGAAGCATTCCCAGAAAATGCCACAGCACAATGCCAAGCAGGCAGAAAGCAATTGCCGTCGTACGATCAGGAGATAAAGAAGTCACATAAGCTTCCTTGTGCCAGAAATAAGAGAATAGAGACAAGTGTTGGCGTCCGTTGTGAACGTAATCACTAATAGAATTCATATGTGCCGTGATAATGTCAGAACATCGAAGCGATAAGCAACACTCAAAGTAATCGATCAGGAAAGATCTAAGGATATTCACAAATAGTTCAATAGTTCTGAGTCAACGCCAAAAGTGGTAAACGCCTGCTTTAGACAAAGAATTTCGGGTTACTGTATTGACGAAAAGGTCAGACGGGCTGGATCTTGGCAACCGACTGGCGCGGACCGGAGCGATTAGCCTAGCCTGAACCCCGCCCCCAATCGTTCCCGCCCTCCAAAAAGCCAATCTCGACACGGCACACTTCGAGATACGATTATCGTATACCTGAAATCGCTCGAACTTTATGTAGTTAAGCTCCCATCTTTACATGTATTAGTGCACATTTGAGCTTCTATGAAATATGAGAAGGAACTTAGTGCAAGCTACAATGTGCAGAAAAATAAAACTATAGAGATTTCATCTAGAAGGAGCAAGTTCACTTTGATTGTTATGAAAGTGGTCGTTCGTGATAGGCGAGATAGCATGATTGAGAACGGTGTCGGGATTGGACGGACGGCAAGAAGCGAATCTGCGCGGCAAAACGCAACGGGTTTCGGTGCCCCTGTCCCTGTTTTTGCTTAAGTTCAAGACGGGATGCGTGACAGACACACAAACACACACAGACACACACATACACACAAACATACACACACATACACACACAGAGCACATATAGGAGTGATGGTGGCACCCATCACAACGAAGGCGATTATGTGCGAGGAGGTAACTGAGTCGGAACGGTTGGAACAAGAGCGTCAAGAAGGAGAAAGAGGAGAGAGGCATTGTTTCAGCATAGAGCTTTTACAGATGCTACGGCGAACAGGGGAGAGTACACTTATCCCACATAATTCAAGATGCGCGACTACCGAGGCCATAGGATGAGGCAGAATAGGCGAAATACTCTTCTCACTGGTGTATCACCAGTTGGCTGCAAAAGATGCCTGTTTCATCCCCTCGCAGGCATCGTATCGCCCTAAATCTAAGCTGCTAATCGAGATTGTTAATTGGATGGATTTAGTTGGTGCCATCTAAGCCTACCAGTGCACGTCCAGGCCTCGATAACGGCAAGGATTACGGAACGGCGATGAGATGCATCAAAACGGATAAAGCACAGCATGTGCATATTCGTCTCGCCCCTGGCTCTCTCTCTCCCTCGATTCCCATTCCAACGAAAATTTCGTGCATATGGTTTTCCATCAAATCTGAAACTGGCACTGCTGTGGCACAATCAATGGATAATCGCTTCGATATATGCATACACATGTTGGCAGAAAAGTGTTGGAGTAAGTACGTCTCCTCAAGTTCGTTTTGGTAAGGTTTACCGGATACTCATTGATTTCGTTAACCAAATTCCCGCAATCGAGAAATTGAAAGTTCTAGGCTACAACAACACGGGTACAGAACGTAGTGATAGATAAGAGGAGCCTTCAGATTTATACTTGGCAACATTCAAAACAAGTGGCGATTATGTACATGGGCCATGGATTCGGTTGTAATATGGCCGTTGTGAGAAAACTTCAGTGAAGGGTGAAGGAGAGAGAAAGAAAGTTTGAAAGGTGGACAGTGAGATGACGGATCAAAAGTAGTTTAGGTTTCATAGTGCGGTTAACTCTTGGTTTAGGGATGCATTCGATAACATTGGAATGGATTGATGAAAAAGACGATGCGACGTGTGCATGGCATAGGTGAAGGCGGCGGATCGAATGATAGAGACTATGGCATGCGCTATCGTCCGTTATCTTTAGGTCAGACCGCCAAATCGGATCCCCGGTTAATAAAGTGAGGAACAAACAGCGTTTGCCCTGATAAAGCGAAGGATTGATACCAAGCAATGGGAATCAACGGATCAATACAGCAGCTTTAATGTTGGTCAGAAAACATCTGAGAAGTGGTTTTTTCGTGAGATGTTCGACTTTAAGTAATAGCACGTGTACTTTCCGTTGAAAATTATATGCAAAGTGGAAATAGGAACTGGCTTGCCTTGTATTTGTGGCTTTCTTGTTATGGCAGTAATGAGATGATTCGGGAGAAACGTATTCATCCAACTCCTGTTCAGTACCGTCTGCCGTCCGTAAAACCGATAGGCTATTCATCCCGAATACTGAGCATCGCTGATGACTCACCGTACCAAATTCAATACGAAAAATTTTCATCGGAGAACGGAATAAAGAATCCGTTTCGTTCCTAGCTTGTAGCCGTTTCAAGGATGCGGAGTGGTCACGAAGTAGATATTTGGGAGGATGTGGTTGCATTCGGCGTCGTCATGTCACACTGGCCCTAATCTATGTTGTGATATTCAAAAAAGAGACGAAAATGGCGAGAAAACGGAAACAAGTAATTCGTTAGGGGTACACCAAGAATAAAGATTAGACCCTGTTCAGATCGATTTCTGCCTTTGGATCCAATCCATTAGCAGTAGGTCACAGAAATGCCTGGACACGGTGATGACGATCATTTTCGATCAACATACGCCCATATGGACCATTTCTATTCAATGAACGTTTATGGACTAGGTAAAATGAGCTGGAGTGGGTTAGAGTGAAGCAATGTATAGGTGAAGTGAGAGGTGAAGAGCTCGATAAAAAGAAACGAGAGTAGATTGGTGACGCGCAAACTCACAACTCTCGATGCCCTTCGATCAAATTCAGAACGTTTCCTAACGACTTCTATTGGTCTCCGGAACGAGTTTGCGTTCCACTGAGAGCGAAATTCGCCCCCGACCAACAGACCGACCGACCGACGAACCGACCGACCGACGGCGGTGGCCTCAACGTGGCGGGGCGACGACGCTGGTGGCGACGGCGGAAGCGACGGCAGCAGTTTTCTCCGCATTCGCTCGAGACCGCGCAACCTGCTACTGTGACGGGTGCGGTGCGCGTGCTGCGTCAAGTGGAAGGAGGATGAGCCCGTGGGTGACAAGAAACGTGACAGAAACCACACCACGCGCTAGAGGTTGCTGAAGAGCTCGATTGGGAAACATACAGCATAGTATGCTACGACCTTAAGCCGAGCTGAGCAGCGTAACGCGAGATTATGTTTGGTCTCAAAGTGCAGATATTTGAATTTTGAACGCAGCACTAGAATAGATTGACAGCAAATCTAGGTGCAGCAACAGAACTACTTTGGATATGCAGATTTCGTGCCCCTCACCTATCAGTGCACACACATGAAAAAGAGTTTTCTGTTTCGATCTCGTACTAGTAGTGCATCAATTATCGGGGCGCATGATAAAATCAGAATATGCTGCGCGTGGTAATATTACAATGTGCCGAAAGTCGCATCTCAATGAAGCGGAAAGGTTAAGAAAAAGGCGGCGAGACAAATAGCATCACCAGGAGTGAAAACAGGAGTAGCAGCAGCAGCAGCATAAGCAGCTGCGGGGTTGAGGACCTGGATTCTCACACGGTAGCAGTGGACCATGTTCTAGGCCAAAGACCTGGACGGTCTCTCTATTGGGAAGTAAATCTCCGATCGACTTTGATGACGATGACAACGACGTCGTTGTCGTCACTCAATGTAATCTTGTGTGACCCTCGTCGTTGTGTTTTGTTGGAGAAAAGAAAGACCAAGAGACGAATTCTCGAAAACATGTCTTTGCCTGTCATTGTTGCCGGGCGGAACAGTCTCACGATAGACGCATCGTAGCGGTTAGCCTCCATTGCTTATACATAGGTTCCAGTTCTCTGTTCCTCTGTCCGCTGTTTCCCCATACCTTTTCTGAATCTCCTAGTCAACTTCTGGTTTATGCGGTCGCCATGGTCATTTCCAAAGGCCAAATGTTAAAAATTTTTTTCTACGTCGAGTATCAACATCTTAATCTCACCTAGTCACAGCACCGGAAGGATGACTTTGACTTCTCAAATTATTAGAAAAATCAATATCTGGTCACGCCTGGCAATGAGAAGAGAGACGTAATCTTGTGTGTCTTCCAGGGTATATGTAAATACGAACACATACATTCGCACCGTTTTCTGCTGGCCTACGAAAGTCTGACTGATAGGTGCTTGAACAGACACAGTATTGGATAAGCAGAGCGTTGGTGGGACGGAGAGAGGAATCTGATAGTCAGTGGCTGTACAACAATGTTTCGGAAGCTGTTTTAGCTGGTTGTGATGCGTGTATGTTTGCCGGTCGGAAAGCTGTGGGGGGATCACTCATCTGAAGCTGATTCATACGCGGCCACACGGCGTCTTCGTCAGGAATACCAAACACGGCCTGGATGGCATTTATGACAAGCGAAGAGACGAGGATGAATAGATTCATCGATCGCCTCGCAAGAATTATGGTTACTCACGTCAAAACGGACTTCCTCGCTCTTCCTTCAGCCAATCTTGGCAAAATGCACCTCTCATCCGTTAGTAGACAACCGAATTAGGAAATCTGAGCCAGAAAATGAGGTCAATATGCTCTTTCCGATGAGTTCATCAGACCCTTCCACAACACTTCACTTCTATAGGCTCGGAAATTGGCAAGGACTTGTCTTTACCCACTTCCCTTGATGAACCTGATAAACATTTTCTTAAATGATTCAACAAGCTTAGCAGTGGGTCGCAATTTTTTTGATACAGCAGTACAACTGCCAGGTAATTACAATTCAGGTAAAAATGTAGTTGGGGGGTGCCAGGCACTTTTGTGCTCTGCGTCTCTTCACTTCTTATCCCATCTAATCATCTCACCCATCCCGGA